TTTTGGACAGAAGATTTCTGTAGTGACCTCCCACAGTTTAGAGACTCTTATCAAAACCCCTCCCGAAAATGTGAGTGCTAGAATCTCACACTATTAGGCCCTGCTCCTAGACCCAGAATTGGTAGTTTTCAAGACTTCTTCAACTTTAAACCCCGCCACCCTTATGCCTGACAACGACCTGAGGAATTTCACAGATGGAAGCAGCTTCATCCAGAACGGCAGAGGCAGATGAGTGGCCGGGGCAGCAGTGACCACCAAAAGGAGGTACTCTGGGTTAAGCGGTTAGAGCCTGGCATCTCTGCCAAAAGGTGGAGCTCATTGCTTTGACTGAGGTACTAAAACTAGCCATGGGAAAGAGGGTAAACATCTATACTGATAGTAGATATGCTTTTGCTACTATACATGTACATGGAGCCATCTATTAGGAGTGAGGTCTCTTAACCTCCGCCAGAGCTAAGATTTAAAAAAAAAAAAAAAAAAGGGCTCCAAAGATCCTAGATTTGCTGGCAGCAGTCTGGCTGTCAGCAGATTGCTGCTATTCACCTGAGAAAACAATTTGGCAGATCAGGCCACTCAAAGAGTAGCAGTCACATCAGAGGGGCCAGCCGAGAAAGTAACTGCTCTGGATGTGAGTCCCCCTGAACTTGTCAGAACCAGTCTACACAAAGAAAGACTACACTGGTTGTTGTGAGCCATCTAACAAATTCCAGTCCCTGTGACTAAAAGACAAGTGCAAAATTTCTAGGAGCCACAGGACTGATCCAGAGTTTGGGACCCTGACAGAGGTCTGTTGTCTACCTTTCCAAGACACTTGATTCTGTAACAACCAGATGACCACCCTGTCTGTGGTGATTTCCTCAGTGGCCCCCTCATAAAGGAGGCTTAAAAATTGACTTTTGGACACAAACTCTTGTTTCTTCCTGTTCCCTGGAGACTCTCATCAAGGCCCCATCAGACTGACGGATTTCTAATTCCTGAGCCATACATTATCAGGCACTATTTCTGGAAACAGCGGCTTCAAACTCTGGCTACTTTGCTGCCTGAGGATGACCCCTCGTTGCCTCACTACAATTGTACTGAGGTCATTGATCACCTCACGGGACTTCGACCTTATCTAGTGGATAAGCCATTATCTAGAGTTCCATCCTACTTCTCTGATGGAAGCAGCTACGTCTATCAAGGTAAGCGGGTCTTGGGAGCTGCCGTTACACAAAATCTCAGGTTCTATGGGAACAAATCTTAGAGCCAGAGACATCAGCATAGTGGGCTAAACCCATTGCCCACACTGAGGCCTCAAGTTGTCTTTATCAAAAATGGGGTTTATTGTCTTCTGGAGTCAAAAGATTAAAATTGCTCCCCGAATTTGGACTTGTTGGCTGCCATCTAGATGCCAAAGAGAGTGGCTACTATCTGCTGTATAAGCCATTGGGCAGAAGATGATCTTGTTATAGGAGAAAATAATTTGACAAATGCCACCTTCCAAAAGATAGCCAGAGAGCCCCAAAATCAGTGGGGATTGAGATAAGCTTGACATTACTGCTGATCCCACCTATTTTCTTTGTCAGAGCCCATTTACACTTAAAAAGACCAGCATCTGGCAGCTCAACTTCCAAGAGATTCCCGGGGGCTAATATCAAGCTAGCCCAGTCTGTGAGCTTCAGATGCCCTCAGTGCCAATTGGTAAATCTAAAAGTACTGCAACAAATAGAAACCACTGGTTATCATGGGACTATGCCTAAAAAATACTAAAAAATAGATTTTACAAAAATAAAAGCCTAAAACTTCAAGGATATAAATGTTATAATGGTTGATACTTTCATTAGATGAGTAAAAGCGTTTTCTACTTAGTCTGAGTCAGCTCTGATAGCAGTTTCCCTGATTTGGTCTCCCTTTTTATCCATGGGGTCCGACAATGGCCTGGCTTTTATAGCCTAATAACTCAAATTGACCTAAGCTTTGCAGATCAATTAGAAAACTCGATTGGGCTTACCAGCCTCAGAGTTCAGGAGAGATAAAAAGATAAGTTATATTTTAAAGACTATAATTACTAATGGCCTTAAAAACTGGCGAAAACTGGGTGAGTCTCTTTTCCTTCTGCCCCTTTGTGTGCGTGATGCATCCCCTATGTTGCAGATATTTCCTCTTTTGAGGTTTTATGTAAGAGATCTTCCTCTTATCATTAAAGGTTTCTAAAAATTAGCTGATTTAACTAATCAAGATCTTATTAAGTCCCCCCCAGACTCTTTAGCCAGCTCTGACTTCCATCCACTGGTTATTTTGCTGCTGCCCACTGCGAGCTAAAGAGCCTAGGTACCCAGACAAGCGACCTCACCATAAATCACTTGAGCTGCAATGGACCGTCAAAGTAGCTGAAAGCCTGCCTGGATTCAACGTTCCCACTGCAGACAGGTCCCAGCTTCAAAAGACCATTAGCCTGCGGATAAATAAACTGTCATTTCTTCCAAGGACACTTTAAAGCTTAAGATTGTCTAATATAACTGATAATTTTGTGTTCTCCTCCTTTGTAGAGACCCCAAAGAGGCCTCTGTCTAACTTAAAAATTGTTACTTGTATGATAAAACAGAGTAAATTTAAATGTTGGTTTTCTTTCTCCTTTTGGTTAACAGCTTTAATGACAGCTACAAGACCTTTGTTAATCCTCCTACTGGGCCTTGTGTTGTAAACAAGTTGATAAACTATGTCAAAGTTCTTAAAAGCTTATAATTTTAAAGACACATACAAGGTTATAAACAGATGCTAAAGAGTCAATGATTTGACACACTGACTAAAATCAGTGGGGAATGTTGTACCCTAAGAAAATAGCTTTGTTATATGTGTATTATAGCAAACCTGTATAGGGGCTTACTAAATGTGTTTGTTTTATCCTTTTTCCCTAACTGATATGTTAAGGGACCTAATTGATCTGTTGAGCAACACTCTCCTCTGTAAAGAATTGCAAGAATCTCACCTAATTGATATGTTAACCATTGTTGCTCTCTACAAACTACAGAAGCTGTGCTAAAACAAGCTAACAAGGGTTGTTAATCACTGCTAGGAGCCTCTATTCTCCGCTAAAGAGCTAAGGAAAACTAAAATGGCAATTAATTTACATTTGTTTAAAGTAACCTGCTTGTGTGCAGAGAGATTTGCGTGTGAGTTTAACCCTTTACCCTGACCTTGACACATTACCGCCGTTTTCTGTTCTGTATGGCGCCTTATTGCCTCCCTCTCCCCTCACCTATCTATCTAGGCCATAAAGAATTTGGGTTTCTGGTGACCTCCCCCCGACCCGGTGATGATCTGTTGTAAAATGAGCCTGCCCCAATTTTAAGAACTGCTTAGCTTAAACAAATTACCGGGTAATACTATGGCCCAAACCCCAATCGGTGCTTTCCTTTTGTTCTGTATGTATCAAATGAGTTAGATATCAGGTCTTTGTAAAACTTAAGTTCCAGCCTCTCATAACTTGTGACCCCTTCGCACTCACTAGTGAAGACAAGCTGTCCTGAGATAATTAACTCTCCACTTTCTTCTCCAAATATTGCTGCAGACGTGCCACTCTGAGATAATGTCAGTCTGCAGGATGGGAGTAATTTAAAAAACACCAGGAACTCCCTAGACTGTCAGAGCTAAATAGACAGCAATACAGTTTCCAGACTCGGGTCAACAAGTTTGATGGCTCTACAGGTTTCTTTGTTTCTCTCCCCCCGCCCTTTCCTCCAGCCCCTTTTTAAAGTCCTCCCTTCAGCTTCTAGGGGACGGTCTCCAAATTGGCTCCCGGAGACTGGTCGCCAGGCCTGGAAATAAAGCCTTTGCCACTAAATTTTCGGTCTCTTGCCTCCTTGGATTTTATACCGGGGCTCAAGTTATAACACTTAGAGGAAAACCTTTTATTTACTAGAGTGTTAAGATGTGAAGTCAATTCAGGCAGTCTGCTGCCTTGCCAGTCTAACTCTCATATCCTGTACAACTAACACGACCGCACAAAGTCCTCTGTAACAACCAGCAACCCAACCATTCTTGCCTTTGGTCCTACCCGAAGCCCCTCTCTTACAGCACAAGGAGAGCTGAGCACCTCACCAGGTTTCTTAAGTTGTAACTTGATCCAGACCCAATCAGGAAAGCTTCATTCTTACAACAGAGCCACTTGCCTGTCAGGTAAGCAACCTTCTCTGAAAAACAGAGGGCTGATGCCGAAGTGAAGCACAGACAGGCCTAAGAGTGATGTACTCACACAGGCAGGCTGTGGACTGTGGTTGTCCTGTGCAGCACTGCCCACCAGAGAACATGCAGGCATGCTCCCGGGATGGCTGGCCGGCCACCTGCAACCACGCGCGCTCAGCATTGGGGCTCTACCCAGGCACCACCGCAGTTCCACAGGAAGGCAGACACTAGAGAAGTCTCCTGCCACTCCACATTCAAAATCACTATTAACAAACAATTCTCGGTATTCTTGTCAAAACATCACTTACTTGAGCCTTGTGGGTGCAGGAGAGGAAGTGAAGGGGGCACAACAGACAGAAAAGGAGAGATACAAACAGGGTGAATGAAGTGAAAGCCCAACATCATTCAGGGTGGGATAATTGAGTTTTGTCTTTTTACTCAAGGGAGCTGCCCACAAACAAAAACCAAAAACCGAAAGTAGGAACAAATTCCAAATGTGTTGCTGGTGCTCTAAGCTTTGTGTACATTTACACTGGAAGCATGGCTGGTGACATTTTGATACCTTTTTTTTTTTTTTTTTTTTTAATGCTAAAGATCTTTCCACACCCAAACCAGAGCAGAGGGGCAGGAGTGCATTACAAATGTGGACAGAGTGCCATCCACAGACCCCGGGCGGGCGGGCAAAGACAGGCGGGGAGAGCGCTTTTGTGTTGTTGCTGTAGGCGGGAGAGCTAAGCAGTCTTAACGATTCGCCTCTGGCAGTCTATTTTGCCAGAAAGGGTAACACAGGTCCCAAGGCCCACCACCTACCCGTTCTCCTCTCCAAGGGCACCTACCTTACTGTAAGTCACTACTGATAAGTTGTTTGTGTGACTGCTGGGGGACAGATTTACAGAGTTCTGTGAGAGTCTATCCTGATCTTGCTCAGTTTGGTCAGGAGCAGGAGCCCATGTGTTTTTGCTGATTGAGTCGAACCCGGAACCCCCAGGGTCTTTTAAGTTGTTTTCATCTGATTGTCGGTTCTTTTGGGGCGAGGCAAACGGGTTGAAGTTTCCTTCTACTTTGCGATGCGGCTGTGTGTTGAATTCCGTTTCAAAAGATGACAGCTGCTGTGTTACTCCTAAAAGTCCACCCACCTCCACACTGAGAATCACCCAGATGACATCTGAAATGAAAAGGAGACTCTCATCAATGTGGGTACCCTGAGGCCAAGGCTCCCACCAGCCCCAAACACCAAACCTACCGGGACCGTCTTCTAAAAGCTCACTAACATTCAAAGGTGCAGTTCTTGCCTTGCAAGCACAAGACCCTGTGTTTGATCCTCAGCAGCAAAAACAAAATAAAACAAAAAAAAATGCTCACTGACAACGCTGCCAAGAATTTTTGCTGCATGCATTTATGTATTTTTGGTAACGTCAACTGCACATTCTGGTACAGACCTCTAGTGAAATCTGTGAAACTCTACCTGCAGAAAGCTTCCAGTTGATTCTGATGCAGATTTATTTGGAAATCATCACTCCAAAGAACGATGACAGAAACTTAAAGCTGCTACTGTTCTCAGAACTAATATCTCTTTGAGGATTCAGCTTTATTTTGCATATGTTTAACTCAAAAAATGCAGGGAAGGCCTAATTTTTCAAGTAAAAAATGATTAACATTAGTAGAATTACAACTTCTGAGTAGTCCTCCCTCTTGTGGGAGGAATTTAGAGTGATCATATGCTGTCCAAACTGGGACAACGAAGTGAAAAAGGGAGATATTATTAATAATTATACCAAGAAACAGGTGGGAAATAGCACTAACCTAGACAAATTACAACGTATTATTGTCTATTTCTCAATCTCTGTGATCAAAACACTCCAAAATTTGGTATGCTTCAGGCTTTCTGAAGTCATCCAATTCATCACTGACTTTGCATATTTGTAATAAATACAGGGAAGCTCTGCTTCCAATCTACACTGAAACCACCAGTTTTTTAAAAAGATTCATAAGACATCTGGTAACAATTCTGTTCCTGATTTCTTCAAATGCCAAAGCTAAGGGTTCAAACAGAGAAATAAAGTCACAAAGATCTCTTTGACTTTAGCACCTTACTGCAGGGAACACTGGCATCTACATTCCTGTGAAGCACCAGTATGAACTCCAGCCCTTGTGCTTGCCAGGCAGGTGCTGTGCCACTCATCTACAGCCCGGCCCAAGAAACTTCTAAAGGGGTGAATTCTGGTGAAAACAAATGTGAAGCCAGACATGGTGGTGCACATCTGTAATCCCAGCAATCAGGAGGTTGGGGCAGGAGGACTACCATGAGTATGAGGCCAGCCTCAACTACAGTGAGACACAGTCTCATTTAAAAAAAAAACAAACTAACTAAAACAAAAAAACAACACATAAAACAATGTGAAAACCAATCTAGGCTGCTAAATAGCTGTTGGAAGGCTGACAGAAGGTAAATACATTTACCAACAATTTAGCTACAAAATATGCCTAGAACACAAACACTAAAAAGGACAACAAGGAAAATAAAGAGATGGCCTCTCAGGCTATGCTCATTCTCCATGTGCCATTTGGCTTCAGTATCAGAATGTCACAGCATAGTGAGAAGGAGCCAGCGGTTTGGGAGCCAGGCTCCAGTCAGTGAAGAGGCAGTGACATCTGCTGTTCACCTCTGGAACTGCTAACGTCCCTTCCGGGAAGATGCAGCTAAGGCAGCTAAGGCAGCTGGGAGCATCACTCATCCATTCCAGGAGCACTTAGCATTAAAGGGAACGTAAATTCTCTTGCAAATCAGGATAAGCATATTCAAGGTCTTGATCTGACACAGTACCTGGGGTACGGACTTCACTTACAAGTGCCAGGAAAGGCAGGTCAAAGGCCTTCCATTCAACACTCATAGTCCAACTCCTAAACCAATAGGATAGGCCTTACGGGAAAACCCAATGGCAACCAGACTGAGGGAGTCGTTCTTAGCTTTTGAGCCACAGGCAGCATTCCATCACTCTGCCGTTCATTTTCCCAAACGGGTATGTCCTCTCTTACGCTATAATTATTCCCATTTGTCTTCTATCAGTCTGTTTAAAAACCCTCTTCTAAGGGTATGACAGTTCGCTACACGAAGCTATCGGTCATATGCTTTATCCTCTTAGCTCTGGAAACAAAATGCTGGGGAGAATGGACCATCTCCTGATAATGGATATTATCAGGAAATGAGACTAATGATATTTCTTCCCTAGCTGTAAGACTAAAAGCTTCTTATGTAATTCACTTTTATCCCATTTAAACCACCTTTCTTGGCCTTAGTTGTTGTTTTGATTCTACATAGAAGCTATGAAAGGCAGGTCTTTTAAGAAGACAGTTATTTATAAATTTTATTTTGTAGGAATATATAATAAACTACTAAAAGAGAACATAACCTTTTTATTTCTTAGGCTCAGAGTACCAGAATGTTAGAGTAAAAGCAGTATGTTTTACTTTACTTAGACCTCATGACCATAATCTTAACAAATCATACTGTTATGGTCTGTGCCTGGATGTCTCCTCACAACGTCTCATGCAGTCAGGGTTGTAGAGTTTATGACTGATTCATGGTTTAATGCTGGGATTATGCTACCCTAGGGAAAGCAGCATACATATAAAACAGAAAAAATCTTCTGTCATTTTCCTCCTCTTTTGGCTCTTGTTACTTTTGCTATTTTCTGGCACCATGAATTGTTGCCCTCTGCCATGTGCCCACCTGCCTTGCAGCCAGCAAATTATGGACTGAAACCTCCAAAAACTGTGAGCTAAATAAACCCTCCTTCCTTAATTTTAGTGTCAGCAATGAGAGGAAAGTAATCAACACACATACTAATGTATAAACATTTCAGATCATGGTAAGAATGCTTCATAAATTTGAATGTATCTAAAAGTTAACATCATAGGTGAAATCATTGCATAATAAGCATAAATATCACTAGTTTGTACAGGAAAATAGAATTGTTTAAAATCAATGTAACAGTCCCACCTGGTTAATCTGTCTCTCTTGAGGATAAGGGTTAACAATTCCGAAAACTTACACACACACACACACACACACACACACACACACACACACAGAGGCTAAACAAAGAAGGAAATGGATGATAGATGGTCAGAGCTGGGCTTCTCGTGGTAGAAGATAAACAAGAAAGGTAGGCAGGCTTTCTAAAGTGAACCCTGTGAGGCCAGGCAGGGTAGCACAAGCCTGCAGTTCCAGCACCCTGGAGGCTGCGATAGGAGGGGCGCTGCATATCTGAATCCAGCCTGGGCTACATGGTGAGTTCAGAACAGTCTGAACTATTGTAATAAGACCCCATCTCAGAAATCAATCAATACAACGCTGAAAGATGAAAGGATAAACAAAATGAAGTACTTACACACAGTGGTATACACTAAGTACTGAAATTATACATACTACTGTACAGATAAAATTTGAGAGCACAAGATACAAATCACACAAAAAGCAATAGCATTAGAGAATCAGTAAAGCAATTCTTCACAAGAGCTTAAAACAAATTACTTAAGCATCAACCTCACCAAAGAGATGAAACACCTCTAAAATTACAGAACACTACATGATGGAAAAAGACCTCCCTTGTTGATAGATCAGCTGAACTAATAATATTTAGTTTTAACTTTTATCCTTTCCCCGATTTTTATTAGTACACGTATATAACACGTCTTAACTTTTTTCACCCACTCCTTCTCCAGTAAGTGATTTTAATGCGATTTTTAAGAGCAGTTTCATATTCATAGTAAAATAAAGATGATGATACAGTTAAGTGCTGTATAGTCCCGCCCTTCACAAGCACACATGGCAGACCACACCACTAGAGCAGCCTTCAGAACACTTCTAACTACACCAAATACTCTGTGTGTTCCCAGCCATCTTCTGTCTCCATTCCTGGCACCACTAAGCTTTTACTGTCTTCCATAGAAAGTCACGCAAGAGAGAGAAAGAAAAGAAAGAAAGACAGACAGACAGACAGATGGCCAGGTGGAAGGAAGGAAGGAAGGAAGGAAGGAAGGAAGGAAGTCAGTCTGTCGGTCCATTACAGGAGTCTAATCACACAGTTCAAAGCATTTTCAGATTGGCTTCTTTCATTTAGTAATGTATATTTAAGGTTCTTCCTGGTCTCTCTATGACTGCAGGGCTCGTTTTTCTTTAGCACTAGGTAATAATCCACTGTCTGGGTGGGCCATGGTTTATGTGACCATTCACCTATTGAAGAGCATACCAGTTATATCCAATTGTGACAATTTTGGATAAAGCCGATAAAACCATCTATGTGCAGGTTTTTATATGAACATAAATTTCTAACTCACTGATACAAATATAAAGGCACACAACTGCTAGTTGTAATACATACAGTTTTGTGAGACTGCCCATCCAGTTTACCAATCGGCACGCATGCCCAGCAGCAGAGACCCGACTACCTGTCAGTCCGCCTTCTCCACAGCGCTTAGGTTTGGGCCGTTCTGGGATGTGTGGTTGTACTACCCTTGTGGTACTTTCCTGATGACGTGAGAGTGAACTACTTCTCTATGCTTATTTGACATCTGTGTATGTATTTTTTTTTTTTAATGATCTCTCCAATGTGATGTGTATCTATTATTTTAGAGAAGTCTGTATTTAAGTATTTGGTCAAATTTTAACCTACGTTGTTCAGTTTTTCTTGCTCTTCTTTTCTTTCTTTGTCTTTTTCAGATAGGGTTTCACGATGTAGCCCAGGCTGGTCTTGAACTTGCGGTGATCCTCCCATCTTAAGTCTCCAGAGTGCTGGGATTACAGATGTGCGCCACCATACCTGGCTGTTCATTTTCTAACTATGAGGTTTAAGATTTACATTTTGGTAGATAATCTTTTAGTAGATATTGTCTGTTGCAATAACTCTAACCTCACCCCTTAAAACCTGTGATTCCAGCTGTGTGGGAGGCTGAGGCAGGAGAATGGCAAGTTCAAGGCCAGCCTAAATAACTTAGTGAGATCCTGTCTCAAAATAAAAATATAAAAAAGGGGCTAGGAAACGTAGCTCGGTAGTAGAGTATTTGCCGACGACACGTGAAGCCCTAGTACAGTGTGTTTGTGTGTGTGTTCTCTTGCAGGTGGGTCTTGAAGAACAGAATGTTCTGAACTATTCCCTGCCCTTC